ATCTTTGTATTTGCCATGATAATAGTCAATATCATAAGAATCTGGGTCTTTATTAATAAGAGTTGGCATTTTGGCTTAAAAAATAAAAATGAAGTAGATTATGAGAATCTTGAATATGAGGCAGTCTGAAAGATATAGGGGTATGACAAATAAGGGGTATGACAAATAATAGGATGTTATGGATAACAGGATATGACAGATAAGATAATGTGACAAACACAGGATGTGCCAAATAAGTATTACACAGAGTACGTAACACTTGCAGATCTGTAAATCAAGATTGCTATTGAACAAAAAGTTGTGTAAAATTAAAAAAATACAAATTTGTAAACAATACAGATTAGCTTAGATGATGTAATATTGATTTGTAATCCTGTTTAAGCAGGTTTGGATGGGGCAGACCAGAGGCAGCCTCAAAAAATAGAAAAAAAAATTTATAAAAATAAAATACAAAGTTTGTAAAAGAGTTTAAAAGAATTTTTTAATAAATCAGTCAGTTTTAGGCCGTTTTCGATGATTTATATATCAAAATGAAGCTGATGATGAGCTTTTTTAGTTTGTCCTAAGTCACTAGAGCAATTAATCTAGTAAAATATTAAGATAACATGAATAGAAGCATTTTTTAGTTTGTTGAATATATCTCTGTTGAAAAGAAACTTAAAGATATAAAACTTGGCCGCCTAAGTGTAAAATTGTATTAGAAACAACTTTACTTAGATGTTCAAAAGCAGTTTACTTAATAAAATATTGAATAAGAGTTAAATGTTTGCAACAGAAATTTGGTACAAGTGATCATCAGAAAGAGTTAATGATTTGTGTCCTGTTAGTAATTATATATAAAAGATTAGTTTATACAATAAATTTATAAATAATATATAATAAATATTTAAATATTAGAAGTTATATACATGTACCCGAAGGTACATGTACCCACATCATATGACCTATATTTATATACATAGTTATTATATTGTATAATGGTATGCCTTACATAATATTGTAATAACAATTTGCTGTATCACGTAATTATACTGTGTCTTATTTCCTAACTATTATTTTCACTTACCCAACATTGCATAGAATAACTAAAAATCTAACACCAGCCCTACTGCGCAGAATAACTAAAAATCTAACTCTAATCTTATTGCACAGAATAGCTACCAATCTAACTCTAATACTATTACTATATGAAGTCAAATAGCCTATAGAATAAATTACTGGTGAACTAAGTAGCAACTGCACCATATTGATATAGAATCGAGTTTTTATTTATGTGATTACATACGTATGTACTACTTTCGCACTTGATTTTTTTGTCATATGAATATTTACATACCAGAGACCATTAATGTTACATGTATATTAAAACTAAAAAGGGATTCACTCTGGATTAGGCACTGTCTCTGCTTTTTCGTTTACTCAGATTAAAACTCTGCCGATGACTCCCTATTGATCATTATTATAAATTATCAGATAAACATTACTTAACATTTACATGAATTACATGAATAGAAATCGTCTCAGGAACAAGAAATGAACTAATGAACTATTTTGACACTAATAAATGGTAAATGCCTACTTATTCTTAAATAAGTAATAATTATTTGTCCACATGTTATTCAATCAAGTAATATGCATTCTATATACATAATTATATGTATAGTACAATAGCCTTACTAGATACAATAATGTATGAGATCATTACATTATAGAATCTATCTTATTTTTCAGTTAACTTCACAAAGTGTTGAAAAACTTTAACAGCATAACTATTTGCATGGTACTTCTAATTGAATATATGATAATATAATGAAGCAAGAAATAAATATACTAAGTTGTATACAACTAAGCAAAAATTAATTATGCTTGGATATACAATCTAGTATACTACTTATTAATCCTTTAGCAATCTATATGTAATAAACAATCTAATTATACAACTATTTATTCAATATAAATATAGAATACTCTGTCATTTATGCTATGCTTCGCAACCGGCTCTGTTATGCCTGATATTCTGATATTGTTAACATTGTATTTGTTTTCTGGTCTTTTGTATTTCCAAGTGTTGTTTAGTATCAGATACATACTTTTTTTCTAATTCATTAGATGCTTTAAACTGCTTTTTTCTTGGGGCACCCTTCTTTGGATATAATATCGGATTTTCAACTACAATGAAGTTTTCTTTGTTACTGGAACTAGAACTTGTAGTTTCATCATCATATTCCTGTTGGCTTATATTTCTTTTTTGACTTATTTTTTCTTTGTTTTTTGGTACATACTTATTAATAAACTCATTCATAAAGCTCTTAAGCTCTTGTATTGCATGAGTTTTAGCATCTAATCCGATCTGAATAGCCTTTTTCAATAATCTATTTGCTGTTATATAGGCTTTACAATGATTAACTTTAGTATGAATATCACTAAAAGAAATATCCGGTAACTGAAAAGATAAATCAAGAAAAGTTTGTTCAATACTAATAGAAGTCTTTGAATTACCCAATTCAATGATAAATGGATGTTGCTGCATTTGTGATTCATGTTCAATTTGCTTTTCATCTGTATACCACCTTCTTGATATAAGCATAATATGGAATGCAGCATAGTTGGACATAGTCATAACTTTGAAAAAATGCCTACAAACCAAACCATACTGAACCAAGCTAAGACATATACATAAATGTAAATTATCTTGAAACAATAATACATAGTTTTTTTTATTGCACCTATGCTAGGTAACTTCTCAAACTTTACGAATTGATTCAACTTTTGTAGATGGTATTAACTCTTTAACCAAAATAGCAGGTATATTAATACAATCTTCAACGAAGGTATTAAAATCCTCATTTGAATCAAACTGATCAGTTTGTTTAGTTAAATTGGACTGTTCATTTAAATCAAATTGCAATCTCGATTCTTAAAAGTTATCAATACATTGTGATATATACCATATAGCCTGGGCAATTTCCTGCCACTGCATGGATAAGGAAGTTGGTATTAAATAAGTAGTAATCCATTTGTCAATCTTGGGTGAAAATTTCAAACTAGCATGACTAAGCATTAACCTAGTAATAGATTAAATCCAGTTTTTATATTGAACCAAAGTGAATGCACGATTAACTTGTTTATTAATATGTTTTTCAAGATTAATTAAAGATGTACTACTATTCACTGAGTTCTTAATAATAGCGTTTTGACCTTCAACATGTTGTGTAGACTGCATGCTAGCAGTAAAAACTTTAAAAATATAACAAAGGGCCCAATGTTGTTTTTCATTAAGAAGTGGGCAATTAAGATATAACACAACATTTGGGAAGTTTGTTAAAAGTTTATTCCATAGAGAATCAAATTGTTGATATAAAAGCGAGTTGCATATTTGATATTAATATTTGAAAAATTCGTCATAACATGCACCTAATTTCCCTTTCAAATTTCTTATTAAATTTTGCCCTATATAGAATATACAATGAATGTGATATATGTTAGGCAAAATATTGGCAATAGCAGTGTTAACAGCAAGATCATTGTCTGTTATTAATGTTAAAGGTGCAACATTGGTATTTGTTATTAAAGATTAAAAAACCTATTTATAGCTTTCAGTCATTTCGTCATTCATAAGGGCTTGCCCTATTAAACGTAACCTATTGTTATTGTCTACTATTAAAAAAAAGCCTAATGCCATTTTAAACCAGTTTGTTGAATAAGTGTTATCATGTTAAACAACATCTCAGTATCGTATGTATAAATAATTTGATCGGGTGACATCCAAAATAATAAGGTAAGACAATTATTGGCAGGATCGATTTTCAATTTATAATCTACCTACTGTCTTTGGCTTTATGCTCCAAAAGATTATTAAGTAAAGTGGCTGCCTTATATTCAACATTATTTTTCCACTTGAAAGTCTGAATAGCATTTGAAAGATTTTAAGGCAAAAAGAAAATATCTGAATATTGCTTTACTAACATTTGATATTGTGTTCTTATATTGATATTTCTGACTTTAGTCCAAAATTTGATATCTTTTAGCATGCCTTCAGAAAATTCCCAGTATTTTATAGTAAGCTTGTTAGTTTCATTCCTTATTTGGTGATTATTATGATTCAAACAGACTGAATTAATCCTCAATACACCTGTCATTTTAGGACAATTAGTACAAATTTGCTAGTGACACCTAGTGCGTTTACTTCATGTCTGTCGTTGATCTTTAGCAATGCTAGTTTTGTTCATACCACTATGACCCTGGTGCTTACAAGCATATCGGTGGCTTCAACAAATCCTATTACTGTATTCTGATTTACATATAACACTCACAAA